ATTGTTTTCTTTGAGTAGGTTATCAATTAGCGCCTAGTGTCGCCTGGTGTCGCTTCGTGTCGCTCGGAGTCGCCCTGTTGCCCTCATCACTTGCTTACGTAGGCATGGAAAGGGAAAGCGCTGACAGAAAAATCTCGTAGACTGACCTGGAAAGCGACTTTTCGGCTTGGTGCACGTCTTATTGTTTGCACACTGTTCTCATGTGATTTCGGAGTAACCACTGAAGCAATTCCCATCATTTCGACGTCGTAAAAAATACTGTCAAAAGGTTGTACTCACCCTCAGGAGTATAGTCGACTTTCGGTGGGCAGTAAAATCGACGAAGGCCGACTTTATAGGTAACAGAACCATCGGAATTGAACTCTTTTTGCACATTACTGATATAGTCGAATGCTTCGTTGTTGAGTACCTGAAAGCACAAAAGTCGTTACAGCCATGAAGTTTTCACAGATTACGGACCGATTCGATCCCCAGGACATCAGAGGAATTGACTCTTCAGAATTTAGTCATGCCCCAGAGTCAAGTATTTGATCATATAGAGGCACCCTTCGGAATCACGCCATTAGACCCAAGCTAAGTAGTGTCACTGAGACGGGAATGCAATGCGAATTACCTCTCCTCCGATGACGACTTGGCCAGGATTCACTGTCGCCACACCTCGATCTGATGTCAATCGCAGTGGTTCGAATGTGCAACATTGAAGAGCGATTCTGAATTGGAATGATTGGTCCAAAACGTTTGGGATCGGTCGATAGCTATACCCCTTTTACAAAAAATGCCAAAATTCTTTATGAGTCTCAATCCCTCTAATCGAATTATTGGTGGACCCCGAGCAGTGTGGGTTAGGGTTCTCTTCACAACTGGGTTCCTTTGTTTAGTGTGAGTTCGATATCAGGACCCGTTCAGGGGAACAGCTGAATCAACCCTAGACTATGTTACGATTTTTATAAAACTCCAACTATACTGGGAGCCGGTCAACAGGCGCTATCGTCGTGAATAGGTCGAAATTAGGTCGGCTATTCCTGTTAGGACCCTTCACTTCTTGTTGACAGAAGATGAATTTCCCTGACGTCTCATATTGATGAACCCAAAAACTCCAGTAAAAACGGCCCAGAGATTGAAATCTTCCGCTAGGCGTACAAGTGAGCCTCCTCCCGCCTCTCCCTATCACATAGGACACATAGGAAAACGCCATTGTTCGGGGTCGCTAAGAAATTCCGCTACCACGCCGCACGTTGACGATTTGGACGGAAGCGAAAGGATACAAGCAACATGAACTGGCTTCACCCCAAAATAGCGCGTAGACTGTGGTTCCGGTTCAGAAAAATCGTTAGTGACTTGTCCATTATCGTAATCGTAATATTTACTTACGGAAATGCCGATACATTCAGCAATGGGACGATTCCGCCCACCCATTCGTTGTCACTGTCGCATGAATCTGATTCGAAGGCAGATTGACATTCCTGAAATTAGGGGAACTCTCCAATCTTGTCTTTCTCCAAGGATTAATCGGGAGCTGTCGAACTAGCATATACTGAAAATTGGAAATTTTAGTGAACCACAAGAAGTTTCAGTTTCTTGACGCGATGAACTCTGGACACATTCCCTTCATCCTTTATACCTTTCTAACCTCCCGTCAAGAGGGTTTTCGATAGCAAATATTGCTCTTTGACTTCTTGATTCAATAAATCACAATAAACAAAAAGCCTCTCGAAAATGACTGAAGGCCGATTTTCCATAAATTTCCTGGGCGTTTTTCGCCTTCAAAAACTTTAACTCACCACAGCATTATATTGGGAATGGCGATTGGGAGGTGAATCGGGTACAATGTCTTCAGATCGGAAGAAACCGTCAGGTCTTCCTTTGATTCTGCAAGTAGTACTTAGATCGGTATTCTGCAAGAGTAAAGCACAACAAATAAACAGTTCTCGTGTATAAACTTTCAAATGGGCTACGCTTTCGGTTTCCACTATGAAGCTTCGGGACGTCAGATACGGTTTTTCGAAGGATCATGTTCGACTTTCTTGTCATCTTCGTATAGGCTTTGATTTTTGATTGCACTGACTCTAGCTTCTCGAGTTCTCCTTTTGGCCTTATAGCCTTTTTCAGAGCATGAAAGTCGAAAACTAATTGAAATGGATCTTCACATAAGGCCAGACGGTACTTAAGACAGAAACCGGCCAACAGAAGAGGCCTACTTTGGAAATTTCTCGGGTGATCGATCACGCGCTACAGCGACTATGATCAATGTAGGCTATGTAACAATCTTGTATGGGGTCCAAGGGGGTCTTCTACGTGGGAAGACTGCCTTCAGAACTGTTTGACCTTATATGAGGATCGTTCTCAATTGAATTTCGATGGGACAAAATGTCAGCTCAAAGTCAAAAGTTTTGTATTGTTGGGAAGATTAAACTACTACACTCACAAGTTTAACCTTCCAAACGAGTTTACGATCCCTAGGAAAAATCAAATGTCTGGCTGATTCAAAATGATTGAGAAAGTTTCAACAAATCCAAAAATTTTTAAGGTTGTTTTGGCCTCTAAACAAATGCTTTCTATCGGAAGCGTTTCCTTTTTCTGATGTCATAATGAATTGACTTTAAGTACCCAATTAACAATTACCTGTGAAATTGCCCTTCTGCCATGTTGCCACCTTCAGCCCATCTAAAACACTGTGGTCGTGCACAGCCCAGTACAGGTTGACCATTGGGCATAACCTGAAAATGACAATTAAGAGAAATTCAACTCCCTAGCACAGATTACAAGAAACGCAGCTATCCCGTAGTGATAAGGGTACCTTGGTTTCTCATTTATCATTGCACATGTAAGGGATGATGCGTTTGGGAATGGCAGTTGGCCTGATACCTAATGAGACAACTAGCAACCAGGCACAGGGTGCTGTGGATCGGCTCTACACACATTTTCGAAGCTTTGTTTAAACAGAACTCGACCGCAAAGCACATCCCAGAATGTGTCCCAGGTTGATCCTAACCTTGGAGAATTCTCTACCTTCGAGGTGCCAGAATTTTCGGTCTTTATGGCCGAAGACGGCTTTTCCCCAACCCTCCTTTGGGCGTTTCCAGCGTTAGCCTTCGAATGGCATTGCATTCCATGACGTATGGTCATTTTATGGTCCTTCTGGCACACGCGACCAAACCGGTTTCATCAGAACAATGTCGTAAAAAACTATAACGAAGAACTGGGTCGTTCGCAAAAACTTTCTAGCGTCCGCATCCGACGCACTTTCGCTTGGCAATATTTGCATTTGCTGATCTTTGGAACGATCCTTGGCTTCCCAAACGAGTTTCTTCGATCCAAATCCAGCTATGGTCACTGTAGTGAACATGCAGCTTTGCAGCTTTTCCTATCATAAGCCCTGTTTGCGCCAGTTACGAACCCGTTTTGATGATGTAGAGGAAGACTGATTACATTAGCTCACGGTTGATACAATGCGAAGCTTTCAGATAGTGGTCAACTGGGACGTTGTAGGACCTAAGTGGTCTATACAATGGATTGAGGTGTATGACCGAGGTACCGGCCAGCGTTTTTATTAACCCACACTAATCTGGGCGCTTGGTGACGTCAGCCTAAGATTCTGCCCCCATGTTATGCTAGAGTAGCACGCCAGCTAGCATTATTCCTTCTTGAAAAGTGTACTTGAATTTTTCAGAAGAACTTGTTTGTAGCTCCTGTTCCACGGAAATACGTGGCTTTCCAAACTTTTGACAATCACCCTGAA